GTGGAGGCCAGAGGTTGATGTTTGGTGCCTTCCTCCCTCTGTCTTCAATATATATATGGAGAGGGGCAGAGACTGAGACTCTCCCATGAGCCCAGAGCTCACTGATTTGGCTAGCCTAGCTTCCCAGCTTGTTCTGGGGATCCACTGTCTATAATTCCCAAGTGCTGGGATTATGGATGGGTGTCCACACCCACTCGGCATTTATGTGGGTTCTAAAGATGCTAACTGCAGTCCTTAAAGGGCTTGCATGCCAAGTGCTTTACTCACTGAGCCATCTCCTCAGTGATTACAATGCTCTTTTGACGTTGTAAAAGGGAACAGCAGCTTAGGGACTGGACTGAAAGAATGATGTGAGCTTTGTCTTTTGGGCTCCAGTCTGCTGGGCATTTTTGTTTACTTACTTCCTTGCTTTGAGAGGGTCTCATTTAGCTCAGGCTCGTCTCCAACCTTAAACTCCTTATTCTCCTGCCTCCACCTCCAAAGTGCTGGGATCATAGGTATGCACCAGCACTGGTTTATGGGATGGAAGCCAGGGCTTCACACATACTAGGTAAGCACCCTACTAGCCGAGCAACAGCCCCAGCCTCCTGTTCAGTGCTTTTAAAAGTAGCCAGGCCTCCACACCACAACAGGAAAACCTAAGAAAAGGAGAGAAAAGGGTTTGCAGGGAAATGGCCTTATCTGGGAAACAGAGCCGTAGAGCCGTGTGTGTGTGTGTGTGTGTGTGTGTGTGTGTGTGTGTGTGTGTGCCCGACAGCCTCTTTCTGGGCAGAAATGTTTGGAAAACAATGACTCATGTACTGGATAGCCTGTGGGTCCACTAAGCCACACCTCTTGCCTTCCTGAGCTGCCCCAGGAAGAACCCAACTTCCCCAGAAACTGAACTATGACTGGAGACTTTCCCAGGCAGCTATTTTTCTGCCTGTGGACTCATCCACCCTGTTTCCCCCTGCACAGCTGGAGAATGAGTAATTTTCTCAAACACATAGGTTTCTTAAGAAGTGTAACCTTCAGGTGGGGGTAGATCCAGGGACTCTGATAATGTCTTTATTTTTTTTTTTAAGAAGAAGCATTTTATTACAGCCTTAACATACTCAATAACAGTTTCCAGAGCAAAGATACATTTCTTTCAAAAGTGGCTATAAAATTTTTAGGTTCGCTGTTGAATTAATACAGTTATGCAATATTGAACTCAGTGTAAGCCCTGTGAGACATAAACTTGAATGAGTTTTTAACCTTTAAAAAAGATCTCCATTTCTCCATTTTTATTTTATTATTTTTATTTTATGTGTATAAGTGTATTGCCTGCATGTATGTGAATGCACCCGTGTCGTGCAAATGCCGCAGAGGTCAGAAGAGGGCTTTGGATTCCCCTGGAACTGAAGTTAAGGATGGTTCATAGCCACCATGTGGGTGCTGGGAATCGAACCCGGGTCCTCTGAAAGAGCAGTGAGCCATCTCTCCAGCCCCCATTTCATTTTAAAATATACTGTTTCTTATAGAAAGACCCATTGCTTTTGCTAATAACATTGAGATTTTGGCGCATGCGTCTCTGATCTGTATGTATCTGATGATTACTAGTCATAATCGGTTGCACTCAGGTCCTTGGCACCTGTGTATGTCTATAAAGTCATGGGTAGATTTCAATGGTAATGTTTATCACCTCTACTAATTACCATGATGTAAATTTCCATGCTTCCTCCTCAAATATAATTCATTTTTTAAAATTTGTTGATTTTTTTGTGTTTGTATATCTTAAATCTTGTGTGTGGGGCTGGAGAGATGGCTCAGTAGTTAAGAACACTGGTTATTCTTGCAGAAGACATGGGTTTGAGTCCCAGCACCCACATGGTAGCTAACAACTGTCCGTAATTCCAGTTCCAGGGGATCCGACAGCCTCTTCTGACCTCCGCAGGCATTGCACGACTTGGGTGCACTTACCTACATGCAGGCCTAACACTCATTCACATAAAATAAAAATAATAAATAAAATATTTTTAAAAATATCTGTGTACGGGATGTGTGTGCTATGGGTGTGAGTTTGGGTGTGTGTATGGGTGTGAGTATGAGTGCACACATGAAGGACAGGACAACCTCAGGCATCTGTCCTTGTCTTCCATCTTGTTTGAAATAAGGTCTTGATGTTTGATGCTGTATGCACGCTAACCTTCTGGGGATTCTTCCGTCTTCCATCTCACTGCAGACGCGCTGGGGTTAGACACCCACACTGCTCTGCTCATCTTTTCATAGGTCCCAGGGATTCATCCTCTCATGGCAAGCATCTTTTCCCTGAGCCATCTCCCTAGTCTTCCTCCTCTTTTTCCTCTTCTTCCTCTGCCTCCTTCTCTTCCTCCTTCTCTTCCCCCTCCTCCTCTTCCTCCTACTCCTCCTTTTTTTGAAATAGCATCTCCATGTAGCATCAGCTGGCCTGGAACTCACTACATAGACCAGGGTGACCTCAATCTCACAGAGATCCACCTGCCTGGGTTTGAAGGTGTGTACCACCACACCCAACTCCTTTTGCTTCTTTCTTTCTTTCTTTATTTATTATTTATTTATTTTATTTTTTTACACCCACTTCCCTCCCATAGCCTCCCTCCCCCCACTAGAGCCCTTATACTCTGATATCCCTGTTACTGTATGCTGTGTTGTCGGCACCCTTTTGCTTTTTTTTTAAAAAAATATTATTATTTATTTTTATTTTATGTGTAAGAGTGTTATGCCTACATGCATGTAAGTTGTGCAAGGCCCTTGGAGAACAGAAGACAGTGTTGGATCTCCTGGAACTGGAGTTACAGACGGTTGTTAGCCACCATGTGGGTGCTGAGATTCGAACCTGGGCCTTCTCCAAGAACAGCCAGTGTTCTTTTATTTAAAAAAATATTTTTTTATTATTTTTATTTATGTGTATGAGTGTCTTGCCTGCGTGTATGTGAGTGCACCCGTGTCGTGCAATGCTGTGGAGGTCAGAAGAGGGCTTTGGATTCTCCTGGAACTGGAGTTAAGGACGGTTCATAGCTGCTGTGGGGGTGCTGGGAATCGAACCCAGGTCCTCTGCAAGAGCAGTCAGTGCTCTTAACTGCTGAACCCTCTCTCCAGCCCCACAGCCAGTGTTCTTAACCACAGAGCAATGTCTCTGGCCCCCTTTTGCTTCTTTTTTAATTGAGAAAAGATTTCACTATGTAACCTGAGCTGGCCTTGAAGTCTCCTAAGTCCTGGGATGACAGACCTGGGCCACCACCATGCCCCGGTTCTGAGGGCTGTGTTCCTGTTCCTTGGCTCTGCCTTTTCTTGTGCTTGACTGCACCACATGGAGACTAGGAGACTGCCAGCAGCTTCAGGCTTGCATTAATCTGGCTGTTTTGTTTTGGGGGTTGGGGTAGGGGATTCAGAAACTCTCATTGCCTCTGATTACATCATACAAACCTTTCTCCAAGATGGTCCTCACAACCTGGGGTGGGTAGTGTCCTGATTGGTCAGGACTGATGTCCCCAGCTCTGCCCTAGTCCTAGAGGACTGTATTAGTTACTTGTCTGCTTACTGTAACAAAATACCTGACAGAAGCAGCTTCAGAAAGGAGGGTTATTTTGTCTCACAGTTCCAGGTTACAGCCCATCATGGTGGGGAAGTTACAGCAGCAGCAGGAGTGTGAGGCATCTGGTCACTTCGCATCCAACGTTAGGAAAGGAGAGATGAGTGCTTGTACTCCTTTTTAAAATTTCCTTAGTGGGGCTGGAAAAATGGCTCAGTGGTTAAAAGCACTGGCTGCTCTTGCAGAGGACCTGGGTTCGATTCCCTGCAACCACATGACAGCTAACAATCATCTGTAACTCCCATTCAGGGGATCTGACCCCCTCTTCTGGCCTCTGCAGGCATTTCACAATACAGATGCACTTACATACATGCAGGCAAAACACTCACACACATAAAAAATAAGGGCTGGAGAGATAGCTCATCAATAAGAGCTGGCTGATCTAGCAGAAGACTTGGGTTTGGTTCCCAGCACCCACATGGCAGCTAACAACTGTCTGTAACTCCAGTTCCAGAAGATCTGATGCCCTCTTCCTGCTTCTGAGGGCACTGCATGGGTGCACTTACATACATGCAGGCAAAACGCTCATATACCTAAAATAAAATTTTTTTCTATGTATGTGTATGCACTGGTGCATGCATGTGGAGATCAGAACTTTCAGGAGTCAGTTCTCTCCTTCCACCCTATGGGTCCTGGGGATCGAATTCAGGTTGTCATGCTTGGCAGCAAGTACCTTTACTAGCTGAGCTGTCTCACTGACCCTGCTTTTCCCTCCCTTCCTCCCTCCCTCCCTCCCTCCCTCCCCCACTTCTCTCCCTTCATAGGATCAGTGCAAGGCACAGGAAGGCATTCCTAGGGTGTTTTCTTGCTTTCTTTGCCTAGTAGGAGGAAACTTGGTATATAAATTGTCCTTGAACTCACAGAGATCTGCCTGCCTCTGCCTTCTGAGTGCTGGGATTAAAGGCATGTACCACTTTTCTCCTCTTTATTCATCCCAAGACTCTTTCCCATAGAATGGTGCCACCCATGTTTAGGGTGGGTCTTCCCACTTCAGTTAACCAAATCTAGAAAATCCCACTCAGACATGTCCAGAGATTTGTTTCTAATGTGATTCTAGATCCTATCAAGTTGACAGACCATCACAAGGACCAAGAATTCAGAGTGGGTCTTTACTTAGGACAATCAAGATGGTATTGCAGGAAAAATGAGAGTATCAGGCAGGCAAGTGTACAAGGCTCACACTCTAGACTTAAAACATACCCTCAGTAGCCCTGTGGAAGGAGTTTGAAAAAGCTTCCAGAAGCAGAGGATATTTGGAGCTGGGCTGTTGCAGGATAACTGGGAGTTCACTACAGCAGCATGTAATTTAGTGACATGTAAGTGACAGTAAGCTTGTAACTTAGTAGTGACAAAGGTACATGCAGGAAGCCCCACCATCATTTCATTAATCTTATCTCTGTCTATCCAGTGACTGTCCCTTTTGCCGGATCTGCCATGAGGGAGCCAACGGGGAGAGCTTGCTGTCCCCTTGCGGCTGCACTGGCACACTGGGAGCTGTGCACAAGAGCTGCTTGGAGAAATGGCTGTCCTCTTCCAACACCAGCTACTGCGAGCTGTGCCACACGGAGTTTGCGGTGGAAAAGCGGCCCCGACCTCTCACAGAGGTATATGTGCTAGGGGGAGACCAGTTGTCCAGAGTGGGTTTTGGGGAGACTTAAGGAACAGGCAGGAGGTGTCCCTATAGGCAGGGGAAGCAGCTTGTCTAGAGCAAATCTGCCAATGGGTGTGGGGCCCTTGTCTGAGGTTGGAGAGTCTTTCTCCGTTTGTGTCTCTGTCTCTTATCTCTGTTTTAGTTTGTTCTTTTTCTTTTGTTTTTTGTTTTTGTGGATTTTTATTTATTTATTTATTTATTTATTTATTTATTTATTTTTGAGATAGTGCCTCCCTGTAGCCCTAACTGGCCTATAATTCCATATGTAGAAAGCCTAGCCTTGAACTCAGAGATCTCCTTGTCTCTGCCTCTGCCTCCTGAGTGATGGATTAAAGGCATATGCCACCATACCTGGCTTTTTATTTAAATATTAAAATTTTTATTTTAATTTTTATTTATGTGTCTATGTGTTTTGCCTTAATGTGAGTATACCCATGTCCTGCAAATGCCTGCAGAGACTGGAAGAGGGCGTTGGATCCCCAGGAACTGGGGTGAACCTGGGTCCTCTGGAGGAGCAGCCAGTACTTGTAACCTCTGAGCCATCGCTCCAAATCCTGTTCTTCTGTTTTTAAAATAGGGACTCATGTATCCCAGCCTGACCTCACACTAGCTATGTATCTGAGATTAGCCTTCAATTCCTGATCTTCTGGCCTCTACTTGCTGAGTGCTAGGATCACACCCATGCAATATCATATCCATTTTAAGCATTGCTGGGGATGGAACCCAGAGCCTCCTGCATGCTAGGCAAGTGCTCTGCCAACTCAGCCACATTTCCAGCTCCTGACAGTCTCTATCCACACCCTCACACCCCCACACCCCTGCTGTTTTTTGGAGACTGAATCTCACCATGTAGTCCTGATGAGCCAGATTGGCCTTGAATTTGCTACTCTCCTTCTGCCTCTGCCCCTGAACACTGGGATTACAAGCATGCACCACCTTGCCTGGGCTGCTTTTTTGTTTTTTAGAAATAGAATGTCAGGGGCTACAGAGATAGCTCGGCAGTTAAGAGTACTGGAAGCTCTTGCAGAGGACCTGGGTTCTGTTCCCAGCACCCACATGGCAGCTAACAACCATCTGCAACTCCAGTTCCTGGGGATTTGATGCCCTCTTCTGGCTTCCACAGGCATTGCATGACACGAATGCGAGCAAAACACACACACAAAATAAAAATTAATTGATTAAAAAAAATTTTTTTTAAAGAAAAGAAACTTGTTCACAAGCAGGCCCATAGGCCAACCTGATCTAAACAATCCCCCACTGAGACTCTCTTCACAGATTCTGTAAAGTTGACATTTAACAGTAACCATCACAGTAAAACATTGCAGGAGTGGGTATGTATGGGACAACACTTGGCGGGGCAAGACAGACCTTGGGAGCTGGGGAGGTAGCTCAGTGAGTATAACACCTGCCTTGCAAGCATGAGGACCTGAGTTCGAATCCTAAGAACCGATGTAAAGCCAGGCATGGTAGCTCATGTCTGCAGTTCAAGTGTTCCTACAGCAAAATGGGAGGTGGAAACAGGAGAATCTCTGGAAGCTTCTGGGCCTGCTAGTCTGGTGTGTGCAGCAGCAAACACTAAAAGACCCTCTCTTAAACAAGATGGAATGGGAGGACCTGATGGACACCCAGAGTTACCCTCTGACCTTTACTTGTGCCCTGCAGCGTTTAGTACACCAGTAGAGAGAGGGAGGGAAGTGGGGGGGGAGAGAGAGAGAGAGAGAGAGAGAGAGAGAGAGAGAGAAAGAGAGAGATATTTAATGTGAGGGAGGGGGCTAGAGAGCTGGCTCAGTGGTTAAGAGTACTCACTGCTCTTACAGAAGACTGGGGTTCAGTTCCAGCACCCACATGGTGGCTAACAACCATTTGTAACTCCAGTTCCAGGGGATCCAATGCCCTCTTTTGGTCTCTGTCAGTTTGCATGGACTTGGTGCACTTACATGCAGGCTAAACACTCATACACATAAAATTAAAATTTAAAAATATATTAAATTGAGAGAAAGGGGGGCCTTCACAGGAGGTGAATCCCCAAATTCATAAGTTGAGACCTAAAGGATTAAAAAGGAGTCAGGGATTCAGAGAGACTTGGGAAGGGCAGTCCTTGCAGAGGGCACAAGAGCAAAGGCCCGAAGAAGCTTAAATGGCTGGAGTAGGCAAGCTCAAAGAGGGGAGGGTGGTGCTGGAGAGCTGTCTCAGCTGTTAAAAGCATTGGCTGATCTTGCAGAGGACTGGGGTTCTGTTCCTAGCACCCACATGACTGCCTACACTGTCTGTAACTCCAGTTCCAGGGAATCTAGTACCCTCTTCTGGTCTCTTGCATATTGCGTGCATGTGGTGCACTTACATACATGTGGGCAAAATATTCATACATATAAAATAAAAATAAGTAAATAATTTTGGGGGGGTCTTTTTGAGACAGGGTCTCCCTGTAACCCCAACTGTCCTGGAACTCACTATGTAGACCAGGCTGGCCTTGAACTCAGAGATCCGCCTGCCTCTGCCTCCTGAGTGCTGGGATTAAAGGTGTGCACCACCACGCCCAGCATAAATAATGTTTTTAAAAAAGAAAAGGGGCTGGAAGTGTTCCTCAGTAGCAGAATGTTTGCCTCATGAAGCCCCAAGTTTAATCCCTAGAACCCAATAAGATGTGGTGGTACAAACCTGTAATCTCAGGACTTGGGATGGGGCACTGTGATCAGAAGTATAAGGTTATCTTTGGCTATATAGGGAGTTTGAAGCCAGACTGGGCTATATAAGATTCTGTCTTTAAAAAAAAAAAAAAGAAAAGATGGCTGGAGTTCAGAACCCCAGAACCCATGAAGGTGTCAGGTGGTGCATTTGCTGGCTGCTGTAATTCTAGCCTGGGAAGGTGGAGCAACCTAGCTAACAAGACTAGCCAAATGGGCAGGCTCTGACTTTGATTGAGAGAGCCTGTGTCAATGAATAAAAGAGAAGACAGCCAGGCGTGGTGGCGAACGTCTTTAATCCCAGCACTCGGGAGGCAGAGGCAGGTGGATCTCTGTGAGTTCAAGGCCAGCCTGGTCTACACAGTGAGTTCCAGGACAGCTGGGACTACAGGGAGACCTTGTCTCAAAAAGACAAAAGAAAAGAAAAGAAAAAAAGAGGGAAGACTGATTGAGGATCATTCCTGATATCCTTAGGCCTTGACGCACGGATACACATATGTGTGCGCGTGAGCACACACACAGACACACACGAATGTATACACACGCATGTGCACTCTCCCACGTGTGTCCACACATAGAAACAAGTGGGAAAGAGGGAGAAAGGAGAGCGACCTCAAAGTAGTGGGCGTGGCCACACCAGGTTTCGTGGGTCAAGCACATGGCCGGAGTGGGACAGCTGGGATTGCGACTGCGTGTTCCCAGGTGGCTTGCCACCCTGGCAGAGGAAGACTGACAACTGCAGGAGGACATCACTTGGGCTGAAGTACCAGGAGCAGCATCCAGTCCTGAAACCAGGATGTGCTGCCCAGCTGTCCCACCTGGGAACTGGGCTCCAAGAGGAACACTGGGAGGGAGGTCCAGGCTCTGCCTGAACCCTCTTCCTGTCCTGTCTATGTGACGGTTGGACGGTCCTCTAGGCCTACCTCAGGGCCTTTGCACCTGCTGATCCTGCAGTCTAGGGCGCTGTTTCCCTTTCTACCTAATCTGTGAGTTCTGACTGGTCTTTACTGCCCTAGCTGCTGTCCCCATTTTTTTTTTTGACAGGGCCTCTCTAATCCCAGTCCTAGAAGTCACTATATGGACCAGCCTGGCCTCAATCTCACAAGAGATCCATTTGCTTCTGCCTCTTGAGGACTGGGATTAAATGCTCATACCACCACACCCAGCAAAAAAAAAGTTTTTTTATTTCTTTTATTTATTTGTATGTGTGTGTGTGTGTGTGTGTGTGTGTGTGTGTGTGTGTGTGTGTGTGCATGTGCATGTGCCATGGTGCTTGTGTGGCAATCAGAGGACAGCTTTCAGGGAGTCAGTTCTCTCCTTCAACTATGTAGAGTCTGGGGATCAAATTCAGGTTGTCAGACTTGGCAGCAAGCCCCTTTATCTGCTTACCCATCTCACTGGCCCCTCATCCTTTATTTTATTTTATTTTTAAAATTTATTTATTTATGTGTATGGGTATTTTTGACCATTTATATGTAACTATATTCATGTCTGCAGTGCCTGCAGAGGGTGACAGATCCCCTGATGGTTGTTAGCTGTCATGAGGGTGCTGGGTCCTCTGTAAGAGCAGCCAATGCTCTTAACCACCGAGTCCATCTTTCCAGCCCCTTGTCCTTATTTTAAGGAGAATATTTAAATTACTATTGTGTGTTTATGATATGTGAGTGCAGATGGGTGTGTGCTACAGTGTGATTGTACTGTCGGTTTTACCTTTATGTGGACTCTGGGGACTGAACTCAGGTCATCAGGCTTGCATGACAAGTGCTTTACCAGCTGAGCCACTCTGCAGTCCATCCTACTCCATTTTATATCTCCCTCACTAGCCAGGGGAACAGGGACCCTTTCTGCCCTTGTTCCCTGGGGTTTTTGTGAGTCATGCCCATTTCTCTTGATTTATCTCCCCTTTCTCCCTGATCTGCCCCTACAGTGGCTGAAGGACCCCGGGCCTCGGAGCGAGAAGCGGACACTGTGCTGTGACATGGTGTGCTTTTTGTTCATCACACCACTGGCGGCCATCTCGGGCTGGTTGTGCCTGCGAGGGGCCCAGGACCATCTACGCCTGCATAGCCGGCTAGAGGCTGTGGGGCTCATCGCGCTCACCATCGCTCTCTTTACCATCTATGTCCTCTGGACACTGGTGAGTGACCACAGCCCAGAAGGGTGGGCTTAGCTGAATGTAGCCGGGCTGTCTGGGGGTGTGTGGCCTTAGGTGAGAGGGACCCCCCCTCAGCTCACTTGCATGTGAAGGATCTCCAGAGTGGGAGTGTGAAGGGAAGCCCTAGGTGTGAGCCTTTAAATTATTTTTTGTATGTGTATGAGTGTTTTGCCTGCTAGTGCACCTATGTGTGCAATGCCTGCAGAGGCCAGAAGAGGGCGTTGGATCTCCTGGAACTGAAGCTATAGGGAATTGTGAGCCACCATGTGGGTGTTGGGAACTGAATCCAGGTCATCTGTAAGAGCAGCCAGTGCTCTTGATCTCTGAGCCTCTGTCCAGCCTCCGGTATGGACCTTTCACTGCAAGATTATAAGGGTACCCAATCACCTGTCCTGAGTGATGGGTGAGCGTAGGAAGAAGGGGAAGGGATGAGTTAGAGGCTGAATAAGGAAGAGACTGGGAGAGAGGGAGAGGTGAGGGAAATTTGCAGGCATGGCGGTTCTCCACTTTGGAGGTAGAGGCAGGCAGATCTCTGTGAGTCCCAGTAAATACGCTTGAGTCTGACTGGTGGGAGGAAAGACCTGATTCCTACAGGTTGCCCTGTGTTCTTCCACATGGGTGCTGTGGCACATACCCCCTAATAAATAAAAAAAACATATGATTTTTAAATGTAATAAAAATATTAAAAACTTTTAAAATAAATTAGGGGGGCTGGAGAGATGGCTCATAGGTTAAGAGCACTGGCTGCTCTTGCAGAGGACCTGGTTTGGTTCTCAGCACCCACATGGTGGCTAACAACTATCTGTAACTCTAGTTACAGGGATCTGACGCCCTCTTCTGCCCTCTGTGGGCATTGCACACATAGGTGCACTAGCAGGCAAAACACTCATACATATAAAATACAATACAAATTAGGAGTACTATCTCTCCCTGTTGAACTATTGGCTACTGGTAGATTTGGAGAAAGGGAGTTGTGTTTTCATTTGTATGCCCACTGCTGCATCCATGGGGCTCTAATGGATAGTTTTCAACCCCTGGTCACACAGATGGCCCTGGATAAACTCATTGGGTCACAAAACAAAAAGGAATGAATGTGAGAAAGGGATTGGTATTTTTAGGGAAGAGGGGTTTCCTGGGGATAGGGATAAGAAAAGAGTAGTAGGTTAGGGTAATCAGAGTGCATTAAATGCATGTATGAAGTTGAGAAAGAGCAAAAAAATAATAATGTTTTTTAGCTAAGACCATGCAGCCCTGGCTGGCCTGGAACTCACTATGTAGACTAGGCTGGCCTCAAACTCACAGAGATCAGCCTGGGTCTGCCTCCTGAGTGCTGAGATTAAAGGTGTGTGTTACCATATCCAGTCCCCAAACAAATTTAATTAACAGAAAAGTAAGCTCTGTCTGTACAGTGCTTGCCTAGCAGGCCTGAAGCTCCAGGCTCCATCCCTAGGTTCCACCTCTAGAACCTACATAAAGGTGGAGGGAGAGAACTGACTCCCCAAAGCTGTCTTCTGGCCTCCACATGACTACCCCCCCACATAATAATAATAAATAATTTTAAAGTTAGTAAACAAAAACAAGCCAGGAAAGATTGTTAGAGGTATTGACTGAGAAACTGAAGTGTTGGGGGTTTAGCTCAGTGGTAGAGCACTTCCTGACATACGGAAGGCCTTAAGTTCCATCTCCAAGCACTGCAAGCAAACAGAAAATGAGACTGGAAGGGAACCCTATAAAAATGTACTTCTGCTAAGTGTGGTGGTGCACGCCTTTAATCCCAACACTCAGGAGGCAGAGGTAGGCAGATCTCTGTGAGATGGAAGCCAGCCTGGTTTACATAGGGAATTCAAGGCCAGCTGGGTCTACAGGGAGACTTTGTGTCAAAAGGACAAAACAAGTAAATGTACTTCTATGTTATGTGTCAGTGAAAAAAAATTTTTTTAACTAAAACATAGTTGGAGTTCAGCTTAACAGGTGAAGGTGATTGCCACCAAGGCTGATAACCTGCATTTGATCCCCAGGACCTACATGGTGGCCGAGAGAGCTGATTCCTACAGGTTATCCTCTGACCTCTACATGCACATCATGGCATGCACACACCCAACAATAGATGATAGATGACAGATAATAAATAAAAACCCTATAAGTTGATGCTGGGCTCTCGCCAGCCGCTGGCTGGAGCCGCTTACCTCTGAGACCTGGAGCGGCAGTGCTGAGAAGCGGTCACCATGCCTTTGGCTAGAGATTTACTACATCTGTCCTTGGAAGAGGAAAAGAAAAAACATAAAAAGAAACGGCTAGTTCAATGCCCAAGTTCTTATTTCATGGATGTAAAATGTCCAGGTTGCTACAAGATTACTACGGTTTTCAGCCATGCTCAGACAGTGGTTCTTTGTGTAGGCTGTTCAACAGTGTTGTGCCAGCCTACAGGAAAGGCCAGACTCACAGAAGGCTGTTCATTTAGAAGAAAGCAACACTAATGATCTCTACAACTTCCTGTGTTTGTGTTTTCTCACAGAAGGCTTAAGTTCAGTTATTCTACCAAGACCATATCATTATGTTTTATTTTGTAAGCTATAAATAGTAATCTCCTATTTTAGTGTCAATTTTTCAAAAAGTTTTAATTCTGGAAAGAAAAACCCCATAAATACTTGGAAGAGAAAGAAGAGAGAGAGGAAGCGAGGGGAAGGAGGGAGGGAGGGAGGGAGGGAGAGGGGGAAGGAGAGAGAGAGGAGAGAGAGAGGAGAGAGAGAGAGAGAGAGAGAGAGAGCAAACTGAGACAATGATTAGTAGTGAGAGAAACAAAGCGGTTAAGGTGAGGTGAGGTGGGGAACTGCTCCAGCATGAAAGTCAGAGAAAGTGCCTCACTCTCCTCAGATACAGCTACTGTGGTTCAGCTGTGGGACAGTCCCTACCTCAAGAATCAATTGTCAGGGATATGCATACAGATCAGTAGTAGAGTTCTGATATTTAGCATAGGAGAAACCCTTGGTTCTACCCTAGCAACACACACACAGAATTTTGCTTTTTTGAGACAGTGTCTTATGTAGCTCAGGCTGACCTCAAACTCTATATGTAGCTAAGGATATCCTTGAACTTTTTTTTTTTTTTTTTGTTTTTTTGAGACAGGGTCTCCCTGTAGTCCTAGCTGACCTAAACTCACTATGTAGACCAGGCTGGCCTTGAACTCACAAAGATCTGCCTGTCTCTGCCTCCCAAGTGCTGGGACCAAAGGCGTGCGCCCCCATGCCCAGTCCTTGAACTTCTTTTAAAAATATTTATTTATTGCCATGTGGGTGGCACATGCCTTTAGTCTGAGCACTCAGGAGGCAGAGGCAGGCAGATCTCTGTAAGATCAAGGCCAGCCTGGTCTACATAGTGAGTGCCAGGCCAGCTGAGGCTACAAGGAGAACCTATCTCAAAAAGACCCAAAAATATTTATTTATTTATTTTGTGTATGTATGTATGTATGTATGTATGTATGTATGTATGTTTATATGTTTATAACTGTTTTGCCTGTATGAATGTAAGTGCACCTGTATCATGCAATGCCTGCAGGGGCCAGAAGAGGGAATTGGATCCCCTGGAACTGGAGTTATGAAGAGTTCTTAGTCGCCATGTGGGTGCTGGGAACTGAACCCAAGTCCTCTGCAAGAGCAGCCAGTGCCCTTAACCAATGAACCATTTCTCCAGTCCCCACCTTAAACTTTTGATCCTCCTGATTCTCTTGCCTCCTGGGTGCTGGGATGACAGGCATGCACGACTACACACAGTCTTCTTTGGTTCTGGGGATCAAACCCAGGGCTTTGTGCATGCTAAGCAAGCACTCTATCAACTGAGCCACATCCCCAGTCCTGTTTTGCTTTTTGTTTGTTTTGTTTGTTTTTTGTCTTTTTTGAAACAGGGTCTCCTTATAGCCCTAGCTGGCCTGGAACTCGCTATGTAGCCCAGGATAGTCTCAAACTCACTGTCATCTTTGCCTCGACTTCCCAAGTGTTGGGATTACAGGCATGAGCCACCAAACATTGTTTAGCGCTGTCACAGGCATATTAAGTAAATATGTTCAGTGTTTTCACAGCAATCCAACTGTCTAAAGATACAATTCTCAGGTTGTATTCTCATCCTTAAGTGATACATTTTAAAAATATATTTTATTATTTTTATGTGTATGAGTGTATTGCCTGCATGTATGTGAGTGCACCTGAGTGACACATTTTTTAAACTTATTTTTATTTTATGTGTATGAGTGTTTTGCTTGGATGTGTTAAGTACACCATGCCATGCAATGCCCATGGAGGCCAGAAGAGGGCATCTGAGTCCCTGAAACTGGAGTTACTGGTGATTATTAGCCAGCTTGTGGGTACCTGGAACCAAACCCAGGTCCTCTGCAAGAACAGCCAGGGCTCTTAACCTCTGAGCTATCTCTCCAGCCCCAAGTAACACATATTCTTAAAAATATAAATTGCATGAAACAATATGTTCTGTTTTCCTGTTTGTTTGTTTCCACTTTGCTAGTGTCCTTTAATAAAAAGGCAGCCACCCAGAACATCCATAATTGTATGGGTGTACCTATTTGTTTAACCAATCCTTTTTGACATACTCTGGATTGGATTTTTTCCAATATGAGTGTTTTCCCCCCTCCCCGTTATGAATAGTACTTTTGGATTACTCCCTGTGAAATTCTGTCTCCCTTCCCTTCCCTTCCCTTCCCTTCCCTTCCCTCCCCTCCCCTCCTCTCCCGTCTTCCACGCTCAAACTCTTCTCCCCTCCCTCCCCTGCTCCCTGTTTTCTGTGTACACTGAGGCTACACTACAAGGGATGGAGGCAGGAATCACCGCAAAAAAAATCTCTCTCTGTCCTTCTCTTTCTCTCTTTCTCTCCTGCTGGGGATGGAACCCAGGGCTTTACACATAGTAGGCAAGTACTATACCATTGAGCTCCATCACCAACCCCTATTTTAAAAAGTTTAAATAGGGGCTGGAGAGATGGCTTAGAGGTTAAGCACAATGACTGTTCTTACAGAGGACCCAGATTCGATTCCTGATGATTATTAGCTGCACTCATGTGGCAGCTAACAACCATCTATAACTCCATTTCCAGGGGATCTGACACCCTCTTCTGGCCTCTTCGGCTTTGCATGACACAGTGCTCTTAAATACATGCAAGCAAAACACTCATATACATAAAATAAAATAATTAATTAAATATAAAAATAAATTAAAAAACTTAAATAGGGTTCTTGTGGAAGTCAGAGGACAACTTTCAGAAGTCTCTCCTTCCACCATGTGGGTCCTGGGCATTGAACTCAGGTAGTCAGGCTTGGCAGAAAGCTCCTTAACCTGCTGAGCCATCTCACTGTCCCCCTTCCTGCCTCCCCCCTTTGGCAACAGTATACCTTAGTCTACTTCATTTTGACAAGTGTGTAATAACATGTATAGAACCAACTTTTTTAGTATACTAGAGCTATTTCTAACCCCTGTGCTTGGTATGGAACCCAGGCCTTGATTATTCTTGATTATAGGCAAGCATTTTATCATGGAGCTAATCCCTGGCCCTTAGCATTTTATGTGTGTGTGTGATTCAAATGTGCACATATGCATGCATGTATGTGTGGAGGCCAGAGGTCATCAGATGGTTTTCTCAATTACTTTCCACTTTATTTATTTATTTATTGCTTTTTTTTTTTTTTGAGACATGGTCTCACTCTAGCCCTGGGTGGCCTGGAACTCACTATGTAGGCCAGGCTGGTGGTCTTGAACTCACAGAGATCTGCCTGCCTGTGCCCCCCAAGTGCTGAAGTTAAAGGTGTACGTCACCATGCCCAGACTCCACCTTAGTTTTTAGAATTCCAAAGAACTGTGATGAAGGCCAGAAACAGGCCTCAGGCTACCCCCAGGCTCAGTGCTTGTGGGTCTCCCTGAAATGACACTCTTACCTGGAGTCTCCCTCTTACATGTCCACAGCACACCATGTACCCTGGGCAGGACATGGGGACACCCTGTCTCAAAAAAGATTATCTATCTATCTATCTATCTATCTATCTATCTATCTATCTATCTATCTATCTATCATCTATCTACTCAAAAAAGATTATCTATCTAGCTATCTATCTATCATCTATCTATCTATCATCTATCATTTTTGCTTTATATGTATGAGTGTATTGCCTACATATGTGTAAGTGCACTTGTGTCGTGCAATGCCTGTGGAAGTGAGAAGGGGGCATTGGATTCCCTGGAACTGGAGTTATGAACCATTGTTTTCCACCATGTGGGTGCTGGGAACTGAACCCAGGTCCTCTGCAAAAGCAGCCAGTGCTCTTAACCACTGGGCCATCTCTCCAGTCCCTTATGTTTTTATTTTGAGACAGGGCCTTATTAGGTTGTCCAGTTGGGCTTTAAACTCTGTAGCCCTAATAGGCCTTAAACTTGTGATCCTCCTAAGTAGCAGGACTATAGGTCTGCACTACTAGCTGATACTAGAATAGTGGCATAATACTCCTGTCTATGCTTCCCACAGTGCTGGGTTATTTATTTTTATTTTATTTATTTATTTATTTTCTTTTTGTATGTATGAGTATTTTACCTGCTTGTAAATGCACCCCTGCGTGCAATGCCCATGGAGACCAGAAGAGGACATCAGATCCCCCTTGAACTGGAGTTAGAGATAGTTCTTAGCCATCATGTGGGTGCTAGGACTCAAACCCAGGTTCTCTACAAGAGCAACCAGTGCTCTTAACTGCTGAGCCATCTCTTCAGCCCCACACCCAGCTTTTTTTGTGGGTGTTGGGATTTGAACTTAAGCCCTCATGCTTTCATGGCAAGTGCTCTTAGCCACTGAGCCATCTCTTCGCCCTCTCAATACACCATTTTTTCATCCTCTCACTTATGCAGGGACATTTTGGTTGCTTCCAAGTTAGGCAATTGTGTGTGTGTGTGTGTGTGTGTGTGTGTGTGTGTGTGTGTGTGTGTGTGTGTGTGTGTGTGTGTGTGTGTGTGTGTGTGTTTGTGTTAAAACAGGATCTCCCTGTAGCCCCAGCTGGTCTGGAGCTCACTTTGTAGACTAGGCTGGCTTTGCTCTTGCAGAGCTCTTCCTACCTCTGCCTCCCAAGTGCTGAGTACATCACTGCCACAAACTGGGCATTTGCATGGATGCTTGACACTTAATCCCAAGACTGGTGGGACTCCATTCTCACCAAATGGCAGATGGAGAGGCCCTTACTCTCTGCTTGGGTTAGAAGTTGGAGGGTCCCTCACTCCAAATTGTTACAGAATATCCCCAAAGGGCTGAATGGGTATGTATATGCACAATCTACAAAAAAAAAAAAAAAAAAAAAAAAAAAAAAAAAAAAAATACTACTACCTGGATGTGGCTCTGCTTCCAGGTTTGGCCTGTGGCAGGCACATGCCAGGGCCCCTTTTCCTCCCCCTGGGTGGAGATCTGTCTCTACCTCCCCACCCACTGCAGGACTGCCCCTGCAGGTCTCTTTCCGATACCATTGCCAGCTGTACTCTGAGTGGAGAAGGACCAATCAGAAAGTACGCCTGAAGATTCGGGAAGCAGATGGCTCTGAGGACCCCCAGCACTCCCTGCTGGCTGCTGGACTCTTGAAAAAGGTGGCAGAAGAGACGCCTGTATGAAGGCCTCGCTGGCAGGGCCAAGTGGTAATGAAGAGGCCAGAGCTGGATGGCAGTGCCCTGGCATTTGGAAGGACTGAAGCTGCCCAACCTTTCATACCCAGCCACGATGCTTCCAAGGCCAAGAGCCACAGCAAGCAGAGCCTGTTCTGTGATCCTGTGTGAATAGATTTTCCAAAGTTCTTTTTTGTTTTGCACACTGTTGTACATGACAAGGACAGATGGACATGGACCGAGCTTCGGATAGACCGGGCACCCCCATCTGATTCTGAGACCTGTTTGGCACCTTCTTGGCCAGCAGCTATGGCTGGTTGTGTCAAGAGCACTATTGGGCTGGAAGGTTCCAGCAAGCTTCTTGCACTACTCTGCACCTGGCAGGCTCGCTTTCCTGGCACTCTCGACTTTATAAAATTGTACTGCATTTCAAAAGCCCACCCTGAATGAATAAAAGGAGCCCTTGCTGGATAAAGTGGACTTGTCAGTAACATTTCTAAGCTGCTCAAAGCCAGTGATTCTGTGAGGGTGAAAAGTAAAAACAACACTTGGCTTGTTTTAAGGGATCTCTTATGAAGCTTAGTTTCTTTTCCTGTTCCTGTGATAAAATATGCAGATAAAGCAACTTAATGGCTCCGGAGAGCTGGCTCAGTGGTTAACAGCACTGGCTACTCTTGCCAAGGACCTGGGTTCAGTTCCCAGTACCCACATGATGGCTAACAACCATCTTTAACTCCAGTTCCAGGGGATCTGACTCCCTCTTCTGACCTCTGTAGGCACTGTATGACATGGGTGCATTTACATACAGGCAAAGCACCCATAAACATAAAATTAAAAATAAATGTTTTTAAAAAGCAACTTAAATGATGGGCCGGGCATGGTGGCACACGCCTTTAATCCCAGCACTGGTGAGGCAGAGGTAGGTGGATCTCTGTGAGTTCAAGGCCAGCCTGGTCTACATAGTGAGTTCCAGGATGGCTGGGGCTACAAGGAGACCCTGTCTCAAAAAGACCAAAAAAAAAAAAAAAAAGCAACTTAAATGAGAAAGAGTTTATTTTAGCTCATAGTTCAAGGTACAAGTCCATCATGGTGGGGGAGTCAAGGCAGCAGGAGTTTGAAGCAGTTGGTCACATCATATCATGTCCACAATCTGGAAACAGATGAATGCAAACTCCTGCTCAGTCCCATTTCTTTTTCTTTTTTCTTTCTTTCTTTCTTTTATTTTATTTATTTTTATTTTATTTTATTTTATTTTATTTTATTTTATTCTATTTTTTGAGATAGGGTCTCCCTGTAGTCCCAGCTGGCCTGGAACTTGCTATGTGAACTAGGCTGGCCTTGAACTCACAGAGATCTGCCTGCTTCTGCCTCCCAAGTGCTGAGACTAAAGGCATGCACCATCATGCTTGGCTTCATTTTTCTTCATTTCTTTGCTTTTATTTTTTAAAGATTTTTATGTATTTTTATTTTATGTGTATAAGTGTTTTGCTTGCATGTATATAAGTCTACCACATGCATGCAATGCCCCCAGAAACCAGAAGAGGGTATCAGATCCGCAGGAACTGGAGTTATGGACAGTTGTTAGCCGCTATGTGGGTGCATGGATCTGAACCCTGGTCCTCTAGATGAACAGAGCAGCCTAAGTGCTCTTAACCTGGGTAGACACCTCTCTAGCCCACCCACTATTAAGATAGGTCTTCCCACATCAATTAAAGCAGTGAGGATAATCCCCCACAGGAATGCCTTCTGTAAAGTTGGCAGTTAACAGTAACCATCACAGAAACCTAAAGGAGAAGCAAAGATGAGTTTCAAATAGAGGGGAGAGCAGAGGCTGGGAAATGGTTCAGTGATTAAAGCACTTGCTGCACAAGCACAAGGATCAGAATTTCTGGTCTCTGGAATCCATGTAAATGTTGTATGTGCATGGTCGTCCTTGTAGTTCCAGGGCTCAAAGAAACAGCAGATCCCAGGCCCAAGCTGGCTAGCTGGATGAAGGGCAAGCTCTGGCATGCCTTTAATTCTAGCACTCAGAAGGCAGAGGCTGGCAGATTTCTGTGAGATTGAGGCCAGCCTGCTCTGCATAGTGAATTTCAGACCATCTGGGGCTACAGGGCGACCCTATCTCAAAAAGATAACACACAGGACTGGAGAGATGGCTCAGCGGTTAAGAACACTGATTGTTCTTGCAGAAGACCCGTGTTCGAATCCCAGCACCCACATGGCAGCTAACAACTGTTCGGTAACTCCAGTCCCAGGGGATCTGATAGCCTCTTCTGACCTCCGCAGGCATTGCATGACATGGGTGCACTTACCTACATGCATGCAATACATGCATACACATAAAAATAATAAAATTTTTAAAAAAGATACACACAAAATTTATTATTATTGTGGAGGAGGACACATGTGGAGGTCACAGGACAACCTTGTAGAATCACGTTTCTCCTTCTGCCATTATGTGGGTTCTAGGGACGGCACTCAGGTTGTCTCAGGTTTGCACAGTGAGTGTGCTTACCAACTAAGCCACCTCACTGGCCTGAACAGGGTTTATAATAAAGTGGTTTCTTTAGAAGATTTATTTTAATTTTTATTTCTCTATTTTAAAATTTTATGGGTGTTTTGCCTGCCTAAGTAGACCAGAAGAGGGTGTCAAGTCCTTTGGAACTGGAGTTAAGACAGTTGTTAGCTGCTACGCGGGTGCTGGGAAATGAACCCAGGACCTCTGGAAGAGCAGGAATGGTCTTAACCACTGAGCCATTGCTCCAGCACCAATAAATGAGTTTAAAATTTTTAATTTGGGGCTGGAGAGATGGCTCAGTGGTTAAGAACACTGGTTGTTCTTGCAGAAGGCCCGGGTTCAAATCCCAGCACCCACATGGCAGCTAACAACTGTCTGTAACTCCAGTTCCAAGGGATCCGACAGCCTCCAAGGGCATTGCACGACATGGGTGCACTTACCTATATGCAGGCAATATATTCATACACATAAAAAATAATAAATAAAAAATATATATATTTTTTAATTTAATTTTAAAAAATGTGTATATCTCTGTTTGTGTGTGCAATATCCATGGTCAGAAAAGGGCATTGGATCATCCCTGCAGTTTGAGTCATAGGCCATTGTGAGCTACCTGACATGGGTGCTGGGAACTGAACTCAGGCCTTGTAGAAGAGCAGCAAGCAGTCTTAACTGATGAGCCATCTCTCTAGCCCAGTAAATGACTTAATAAAAAAAAAATTAGCTGAAATTGTAGCTTAGCAGTAGAGTGCTTGTGTAGAAAGCACAAGGCCCTGGGTTCTCAGCACAACTAAATAAAATAGAGTTTATATTTTTAGTTAAAATATTTTTTAAAACTTTTTTATGGCACTTGGAATTGAATTCAGGGCCTCACACATTCTAGGCAGATGCTCTACCAGTGAACTATATCCTCAGTAACAAATGACTTAAGAGTATATGAGGGAGGTTAGAGAGCTGGCTCAGTAGTTAAGAGCATTTGCTGGTCTTGCAGAGGACCAGGGTTCATTTCTCATTACGCACATGCTGGTCAGAGGCACCTATAACTCTGATGTCCTCTTTTGGCCTCTGCAGGTACATAGATGGTGCATATACATGAAGGCCACACACTCAATACACATAAAATAAAAAGTAATTTATAAAAAGAAAAAGGATGTATGTATTTCAATGGAAGGTAGAGACATGTTTAGCACATGTAAAACTATTTCCACTTGCTTTGCATTTCCCATCGGCTAGATTCCACATACTGGGTCCTTTATACTCACTAATAACTAATGTTAACAGCTGTTACCTCCATTTTAAAGATGGAAGACTGAGGCTCAGTGCAGGAAAATGTTTATCTGAAGTTCTACAGCTTTAGGGGTTGGGGACCCCAGATCTACATTGCTCCTGTGCTAAGCTTTGTGCCCTACCTCCCAAGATGATTTAGGACAGATGAAGGATGTGGTCATGGTAATTAATGCCTCTCTCCTCTTCCTCTTCCTTCTCTTCCTCCTCCTCTTCTTCCTTCTCCCTCTTCTTTCTCTTCCTCCTGTTTCTCCTCTTCTTCCTCTTCTCCTTTCTTTGGTAATCTCACTATGTAGTTCTATGGGTCTGGAACTCTCTATGCAGATAACGCCAGCCTTGAACTTGAGGTAATTCTCCTGCCTCTGCCTTTGGAGTGGTGAGATTACAGATGTATTGTACTATAACTGGCCACCTCACCCCTGAAGCATGTTTTAGATGATGAGTTACTTACATTCCAGTGCTCTAGCATCTTCCTGCCTTTAAAGCTCGGAGCAACCCTGAAAGGTAGTTTCTGGGGAGTCTTTATGAACCCTGCTTTCAGAAGAGCAAACTGAGTTTCAGAGCAGTAGAGTCATCCACCAAAGGACACTACACTAATGGGGAAGTACAGTACCTGGTCCTTCCTGTTGTTTCCTGTGTGCATTCCTTGCCTGGTACATAGCTCATCCACAGAAGAAGAAAAATCCTTTCTGTCTTGACTGGAAGAATAAGAGGAAGCCAGTTTTTCAGAGGGCAAAGACCTGTAGGGTAGAACCTATCTGGCCTGTAGGAAGAACATCTGGGAAAACTGGTGGGTAGAAGGGTGTGACTGAGGGGCAGGACTGAGATGGGTAGGCATTAGGTGACTGGTGAACTGATGTCTGCAGAAACATGGGCAGGATCACACACAAGCTCATTAGCTCTGTTGGCCCTTGGGGGCCTTTCTGGCCTCTGCAGTTTGACTGCCCTACAACAGCCTGGCAACCACTTCTCTCCTCATGTCAATTTTGTCATGTGGGGCCCCTGGTGATGATGTAAGGATGCCCCAGGAGATATTTTTATCAAGGGGGGAGAGAGAGAGAGAGAGAGAGAGAGAGAGAGAGAGAGAGAGAGAGAGAGAGAGAGAGAGAGAGAGAGAGAGAGAGAGAGAGAGAGAGAGAGAGAGAGAGAGAGAGAGAGAGAGAGAGAGAGAGAGAGAGAGAGAGAGAGAGAGAAGAAAGGGAGGGATAGGGAGAGACGGAGGAGGAGTGGAGGGGATGTTTGCTTTGTGCATCTCTTCTAATACTAATTACATGGAAGAGAGCTTTAGTTTGATTTTAGCCTTTATTATTGTTAAGAATTCTGCAGACAGGGCTGGTGAGGTGGCTCAGTGAGCAAAGGCACTTGTTGCCAAGCCTGACAGTCTGAGTTCAGTATGTGTGCATGCCCACATGGTGGAAGGAGAGAACCAACTCCTACAGGTTGTCCTCTGACTTCCACATGTGCACTCTGACACGCTCATGCCCGTATGCATTCACACACACACACACCTAATTAATGCAAAAAAAAAAAAAACCAAAAAAGCTAGGTGTGATGGCACAGACCCTTAACCCCAGTACTCAGAAGGCAGAGGCAGGCAGATCTCTGTGAGTTTGAGTCCAGCATAATCCACACACTTCCAGGCCAGCCAGGGCTACAAAGTTGTACTCTATCTCAAAAA